TATATGGCAGACCGGGTTCTACGATCAGTGTACATTTTGTTATCTAAGCAGTGCATGGAGGAATTGACACATTCAATTCTATGGCTGCTTTAATTTAGTCCGCACTATCGGGCAGACGTGACGGTAATTGGGCCATTGTCATCGTTGAGGCTATAACAGAGCAGTAACTACAGTGACGAGCCAGGGTCGTCCAATAGTCTATAGAACGTATAGCTGCATTGCTGAAATTTGCTTCACGAATTCGCGTCAGTCTGCCGCATATATGAGCTGTTCACAGTGGCTTATGAATGCCAATGCCCCCCGCCCATGTTTGAATAAACGCGTGTCGCTTACTCCCGGGTTGAATAAGTAATATGAACCCAGTCGTTCCTTTCGTCTGAACCAACTACCCAGAACGTATAAACCATATGGGAGCCGACTCAAATTGGTGTACAGTATTACCAGCGTGTTTGTAATGACCACGGGACAGGATCTAGTTGGTGCAAATCGGTGGCTCGATGCTATTATTGAGTTTATTGATGTTTTCCGCTAAAGCAGTGCATTAAGTGCTTTTAACATCATTGCATCCATTTCTGCTTACGCTGCAGAGCGAGATATCAAGCAAACGCACAATTCCACTCTGCCTCGGGGCGCAGTGGGACAAGCACAAGACGATGCTCGACATACCCACACTGCTCTTGCTCAACCACGAGCTGCCTGCGGAGCTAAGGAGCCAGTGGACACTGCTCTTCAGCACCAGGTAACCTCAGCTGCGCACTCACACGTGGCATGCCCATCGGCGGCAGCAAAGGGTGAACCAGTCAGTTGTGGAACTGCTGGCTAAATACCTAGTGATTGCCCCCACAGAGTTAAAGGTGTCGTGAAGCAGTATCCCAAAAGCACTTTTTTTTAAACCATTAAGTCGGTTGCATGCCCAAAAGCATTGGGTTTAAAGCCTTGGTGTTGGTTGTAAACCCGATAGCATTGTTTTTAAAAAGACTTCATGTTCGTTACATGTTCAGTAGCATTGTTAAAACAGACTTCGTGTTTGTTACACGTCCAATTAATCGATTTGATATTTTATGAACCTAGAAATATGCTTTCCTATGAAGTTTTTTTGCTGATTTGTACTCATATGGGGTCCTAAAACAAATTCAGCTTGGTTGCCCAAATGGCAACTTTGGGCAACTCTAGTAATTTGCATAAATCCAAAATGGCATTGTTTAAAAAAGCCTTTATGCTGGTTTCATGCCCAATAGCATTGTGTTAAAATTAACCTCATGTTGGTACACACCTAATACAATTGTTTTACAAATTACATCATGTTGGAACACGCCCACTAGCATTGGTCAAAAAAGACTTCAAGCTCGTTTCACGCTCAGTAGCAATGTAAAAAAGACAGTGTTCGTTACACGTCTAATGGCATTGTTTAAAAAAGACTTCATGTTCGTTGCGTGCCCATGCAATAGCATTGTATTGTTTTAAAAACGACTTCACGTTGGCTTCATGCCCAGTAGTAGTATTGTTTAAAAAAACTTCATGTTGATTTCTTGCTAAATTTGAATCCACCATCGGCATTTCATTTACTTTTGCTGGCAAGTGTCATTTTTGAAATGTTCAATGTGACATCGTTAACTAACTACAATTACATAGGTGCTTGAACGAGTTTAGCAGTAATGACATTATATCGTGTGTCTACAAGGGAGGCAAGGGCAGACAAAACCAAGCTGTAGGAAGAGGTATTGGGGAGAGCTAGAGGGATGGGCGTTCTGTGAACATGGTTTCCAAACTCGATGAATTTTGCGGTGTTTAGGGGCATACCACCGAGGCAGAAGGAATGTGGTGTTTAGTGTCATGCCTTCCAAGTTCGGAAGGTAAATGTTTGAAAAGCAATCCCATTCATTATGTGATTTCTAAGGTTGACGGTAATGTCTGCCTCCTAACTTATCTAGTACCTATACCACCTAACCCCCAACCAACGGGTTCAACAATATGGAAAATATACAATTCATCTTTTTCGTCAACAACAAACCAAAAAAAATACTAAACGGATTTCCAACATGCAGAGAAATCCTTTGGCACGCGAGCTGTCGGGGACTATCAGTAAACCTTAGCATGTCATTATTAGCCATATTTACCACGAACATTATCCTGCAAGGAACATCAAAAAACAGCTTGTATATTTTCTCTAAAGAAATATTCTCAATGTGACGACCTATACAAAAGCACTCGGTTACCCCATACTTTACTTTACCCCATGGTGCATTCATTAATATGTTGCATTGCAAAATTCATTGAATTTCACGTTCCGACAAATCGCTGCCGTTGTCAGCCAGTGCCTATATGGCGTACGGCTCGGTAATGGTCCAGCTAATTTGTGTGCAATTGGTAATTCTGTTTTGGCCACGACGCCAAAATAATTAGGAGCCTATTGACTGACTAGCTAGCAAGGAATAGCTAAGTACGTGTTTCTACTGTACTGGCTGTGCTCGTGTATGTGAATCCCGTTCGGCAGGGAGGCGGGTCTCCCTCTCCGTATCTATCAGTATCTACATGTATATCGTATCGTATCCTATTCCGCGGTTAGGGCATCGGCTAAAAGCCTGCCAGCTGAAAATCAACCGCGGTATATCGCTGATGATGTCGCTAATGATCTAATATAAATCTCATCGCCGCAGCATTATGCTCCGTGATTCACTCGAAAGCGTCTGAGTGAGGGCGCGGCACGGTGCGCTGTTTTTCCCGAGGAAGGCGATTCATGAAACGCACTGTATACGCGTTACGATCGTCTCGGGCATCTCTCGTCTGCTGCTGCTGCTGCCTGCTGCTGCGCTGGCTAATCCTTAGCTGTCATGCGTGTGTCGCAAGCTTCGACCCAAATATGAGGTATTCTTCCTTCGGCATTTGATACCCGGTATCCGTTCATATAGCAGATAAGCGAACGTTCTTTCTTAGCGATGTTGTGCGAACGAGCAGCAACGGGTCTTCTGCAACGTATTTCTCCGTTAAGCGGCCGTCTTGTCGTAGTAATTTACTCTTCGCTACTCTACTTAAGACCATTAGTGGATGCTCTGATAGAGGCCGTACTGCTGCGGCTGCATATATATATATTATTGCAAAGGATATAGAAATCTATAATGTGTTGAGGGAGTCTATAAGCAAAATTGATTACACGTGCCGGCTACTGTGCGCGCTGGTAGGATAGGTAAGATTTTTTTTCTTCTAGTCTGGTTTCACAGAGGCTCTATCGATATCACAAGCACGAGTTCACTTGCTACTGGCACTATCACGCCATTTCGCCTGCAGATGCAGACGTTTGGATTTCTCTATGCATCACACTTAAATAGTGGGTGGAGACACTACGATAGTAAAACAATATTCGCTGCGTGCCTTGGGGCTCGGTAACATGCATATTTCACATTCATTTCGCGCAGTACTTGTTCAATCTGACACGAACATTCGCACAATGCCATATTTCACGTCTTTTATTATGATGGTTTTCGTTCAGTGATGGGTGTTTCTGTGCATTTTATCGCCATCGCCACATTTGTGATTGTGCTTGTGTTGTCATTTAATTCTCCTCACGGGACACATGCCTGTTCAGATCGGAAGGTGAAACAACCTAGCGGGGGAAACGGGGAGAGGTGGAGGTTTCATTCCAAGTGTCCCAGGAAAAAAATATGCAGCATCGCAATTTCAGCTTTTCCCGCGTCCCAGTTGACATCTATTCCCGAAGTAGGACAAATGTATCGGGTATTTCTCGGTTTCCAGATATTTATAAAACTCCAATCCCGCGTCCCGAAAATAATCGTCTTCTTCCCCTTACGTCAATACGCGTAAAAAGCTGCAACATAGATGATTTACATTCGGTGCGGCAAGGCAGACATACTCGTGAAACGCTGTTCATTATATACATATATGGCAGACCGGGTTCTACGATCAGTGTACATTTTGTTATCTAAGCAGTGTATGTGTTCTGACATTATATACATATATGGCAGACCGGGTTCTACGATCAGTGTACATTTTGTTATCTAAGCAGTGTATGTGTTCTGACATTATATACATATATGGCAGACCGGGTTCTACGATCAGTGTACATTTTGTTATCTAAGCAGTGTATGTGTTCTGACATTATATACATATATGGCAGACCGGGTTCTACGATCAGTGT